ATCTACCTTAACCAAAATCAAAGTAGACTATCACTCACCCACACCAGATGGAAAACTCTACAGACTGTCGGTTCACACCCCATCACAAGCCAGCAAAACATCCACGAGACAAAGAAAGGTCTGTCACAGCCAAAAAATACACTGTAAGTGATACTCCACCTTAACCCCGGCTGTGGTTAAGCATCAACGACTGCCCAACAACTGATACCCTGAGGTGGGCACCAACCACTGCCCTCAAGGTACCTGTGGCAAAAGTCAAAGGAGACTATCACTCACCCACACCAGATGGAAAACTCTACACACTGTCGGTTCACACCCCATCCCGATGTTCCTCCTCGTCCTCCCTCCACCCTCCAGGGCCTCCACCCTCCCTCCATCCTGCACCCTCCTCCTCCAGCCAGCATCTCCTCCCTCTCCTCCTCTCTGCATCCTCCCTCCTCCTTGATCGCCTATACCATGACTTTGCTATTACCCTGCTACGGTTTTCTCCGGTCAGGTCGAGCGGCAGTGGTCAGGGCCATCACTACGCGGCCATGGTTTTTTTTTGGAACTTTTTTTCCCCATCATGATTGATTGATTGATTCGTGCGACAGTCGTTGTACTTCAGATGCACTCTCTCTCGGAATTGATCTCCTTTTCTGCATCCATGCATAAAACACGTCCAGATTCTTACGCCTGATCCAACCTCTTTGCAGCTAAAAAGGAAAAACTGACGTGGAAGGGTGGAAAAGGGAGGATGATGAGGAAGGGGGGTGAATGCTGAGGTGAGGAGGTGGAAAGGGGGAGAGGATGACATGAAAGGGGAGGGAGAACGACGGCGACAGTGACCATGACAAGGATGCGAACGGCGATCGTGACGAGGATGGCCATGGAGGAAAACGATGATGGATGAGGAATCGTCGAGGATGAAGGACAACGAGTGGGGAGGAGGACGGACGAGGAGTAGCAGGACGACGATGATGATGGATGGAGAAGGTTGGAGAATGGAGGTGGAGGAAGGGGGAGGAGGGAAGAGGATGTCGATGATGCGTGGAGGAGGGAGAATGGAGGAGCAAGGAGGAGGGAGGATGTAGGACGGAATGAGAAACGGAGCAGGATGCGAAGCGGGGAGGCAGGGCAAGGGGAGAAGGGAATCAAGGGATCGGGCCGGTCAGGAAAAGCCCGCATTACGTTGGGACGACATGCTGTACGAGTGCCTGGGCTGCTGGGCACAGCATGCATTTCGATCGAGCTTTTGCAGTCCGCCTGGCACACAAAGTAGCCACCGGGACTGCTTGGTGCATTATCAACCAAAGGAAAGCCGGCGTGTTTCACAACCACCAAATCCATCAAAATTTCCCAGAAGGTCGGCAGCGCTTCCGAGACCCAGTTTGTTGCAGTCGACAGTCTGGCAAGTTGGCAAAAATTCAATTCACGTCCACATGCAGTGTACTGAGTGTAGAAACCAGAGTGGGGAGTTGCGTGCAGTAAACAAAAAGAGGAACCCTTTTTTTTTCTGTGCAGAGGGTGCTCCCAGGCCCAATCCCTTGGATCAACATATCCTTTTTTCCTTTTTTTTTTTTTTTTTTTTTTTTTTTTTTCAAAAGGGCAACGACCTTGAGATCTCTGACCGGCCCCAGGTAATTCAGAATGACTTTACTCTGGTCATCTTTTTGGGTCCGGATTCGAACTTGGGGCTGTATTTCAACAGTTCACAGGTGTACCAACTGAGCTAAGCCCGTTAGTCGACTTATTCTTTTTTCTTCTTCTTTTTCTTCTTCTTCTTTCTTTGGGAAGCATATTACCCAAGGTCAAAATTGAGTACCGGGCCTACCGGCCCAGTGCCCAAGGCAAAAACATAGTGCAGAAATAGTCCCACATACCATGGCGATGTCCAGAAATAGTCCCAGTGTCCCACATCCAAGGGGTCGCCCAGCCTCAAGCCTTCATCCTCAGGCTGAGCCTCAGCCGTGCACCGCGGTCAAACATTTCTGTTTCAACTTTCAACCAAATAGAGAAATAGTGCAGGAGCAGGAGCAACAGGACCCATAGACAAGTTTTTTGCTTTTTGTTTTTTGTTTGTTTGTTTTGTAATAATTATTATCGAGAAGTATTTTCTCGTTGTTTGACTTTGTCAAGCCTCTATGGACAAAGTGCAACACCCCAGAAAGTTATTTTTCTTCTTCTTCTTCGTCTTCTTCTTCTTATTATTGTTAGTCCCCGGGCGGCCCGGCTGGGGGAAGGTCGCCCGGGTACCCTCCCGGGCGGCCCGGACCGGGCAGGGTCCCGGGCGATCCCAGCGCATAATATTCTAAAAAATAGACAATAAAAAATTTTCAAAAAAATCCGAAAAAAAAAAATGTTGTGTAAAATTGCAATACAAACGACTATTGGCTGAGGGCCACCTCGAAATTCCTTGTTAATTTCAAGATAAAAATAAATGAGAAAACCTGAGTCCCAAAAGACTCCAAATGTACCCTTTTAAGCCCTTTAGTCACTGTTTATACCCCCCAACCCCCCCTGGATGACCCATCACCAAAACCGAAGTTAAGACCGGATTCTGACTGCTTGGGCCAAGCGCAGTCCTGGCCTGAAGTCTTTTTTTTTTTTTTTTGGGATCCTTGCCTCTTTTTTGACCCGTCTGATTTTGCCGGGCGACCCCCCCTCTGCCCAACTGGCCCGGCCCGGGCGACGGCCCAACATAGTTTTTAAATTATTATTATTATTATTATTATTATTATTATTATTATTACTATTATTATTAAAGCCAGTCCCTCAGCTAGGAGAGGTGATAAGTGCACCCCCTCCTAGCTGGCTTCCTGGTTGCCCCAGTCTATTGGTGGGAGAGCTACACCTGCTGGAAAACGGGTCCAGCGTCCCTTTGTACTCTGACCTGCCAGCATTGATTACCCTGGAGTCCAGGGGATTGACTGAGCAGATAGTGCGAGAAAAAAACAATTAACTTGAGGGGAGGGAGGCCTCTTCACTGTCTTCAGCCCTAAACAATGATAATGTAATCTAGTCATCATAACCCTAAACCTGTACCTAGTGGAATATTCTCAACCCTAACTTCAAGTCGTCGTTATTGAACCTAGCTGACCTAACCCGGCCAGGTCGGAGTTGATCGAGTCAAGCCACAAACCTAACATAACCAGCTGAACCTGTTTCCCCTGGTTGAACCTACTTCCCATGGTTGTCAAGCGGCAATTTGTTGTACGGCTTGATATCCTATGGACGAAGTTTGATAAACGGGTATGCTATGGATAAAGTTTGATAAACGGGTATGCTATGGATAAAGTTTGATAAACGGATATTGGGCCTCGCCACACCTTTCCTGAAACTTGCGTTTTGGAGAGTTCAAAGTCGCCGCACAGGTTTATGAAACTCCATCCAAAAAGAAGTTTCGCAAGGTGTCAGAATCCGGGTTCGTGAGGACCCTTGAAAGGCGTTGCTCCAGCCAGCAACAACCATTTCAAGATTCCTCCATTTGGCCCCCACAAAACCCTCGTGCTTTCAAGGAGTGGGCCTGAGGTTGGGACGGATGAAGGTTTGTCATTTCCTCAGGGTTCATCATCTGTCCTTTCCAGCCAACTTTTGAGAGCGACCTGTTTGAGAGATTGGGGCTCGCTGTACCACTGAGAGAATGTGAAAAAAAGACAAAAACTATAGCGGAGGTGTCTTTCCACTTTTTTTTTCTAGCAACAGATAGATATAATTTTTTTTGGACCAAGCATTCTCCACTGTTGACATTTGGTGAGTACATTGTTTGGCGAGGGGCAGAAATCTCCCGACATGACGGCTCTCGAAATTCTCTGACGGCTAACGGAAACGTTGCGTTGTCGTGTTTGTTATACACAAGAAGTCCAAGATCAACTCACTAGGAATTGAACCTATGACCTACCACTAAAGAGGTGGATCACCTAACCAATAGGTAAAGCGAGCTGGGATGAAAGTGAAGCCCCGTGAGGGGCATTTCACCCCACCCCAGCATGGATCAACCATGACCCGGTGTACCCAGACTCGACTCGACCCGAATGCACGTGAGGGACAACTCACGGCACCGGCCAGACTTCAACCAAGCACTACTGCAAGGGCATCCGACCGGTTCATTAGTGTTTGTTATACACAAGAAGTCCAAGATCAACTCACTAGGAATTGAACCTATGACCTACCACCAAAGAGGTGGATCACTTAACCAATAGGTAGAGTTGCGTTGTCGTGAGTCGTGGCGGCGAGGTGCAATATTGGTTTGTCCGCTTTGGCGGCACAACTTTTCGCTGTTGCACTTTGTAGGATTCGCAAATCCATACAGTTTTGATATGCTACAGATAATATTGGATATCCACTTTTGTCCGCACGACTTTTTTGTCTGTTGCACTTTGTACGATTCGCAGATGTCGTTTTTCCACCCCCTGTATGATGTGCAATCTGCTCTTGGTTATGGGGCCAAAGGCGAGGAGACAGGAAGTGGCGGGAACCGAAATGGCATTCGACTTCATCCGACTAACCAATCTCGATCCTGCACATCAGGAGCAGGAAGGGGTCTAATCAGCACTGCAAACGGGGTTTTCACGCAGGTATGCCCTTGAAAAGAATGATTTGCGGTGTTGTGGTAGGGTCATTGTTGTGGCCTCCCCCTCCCCCCGGGTCACCCCGCCCGAGTTGCTTGAAAATGGGCCTGCACCGTTGCCTTCATGCATTGAAATGTTTCTTTACCCACCAACTCCTTTCCCTCCCACCTTTTGGAAAATATGATTTCATAATCCTCATTCTCATTCCATGTCTGTGTAGAAGCCTCTAGACTCTACTAGAGGGCTGAACCACCATTTGTACCACTAATGAGCCCAATTTTAAATTTATTTATTTTATTTACTGGGATGCCTTCTTAGGGCATTGGGGGCTACTTCCGGCTTCTCGATTTCTGATGAAGATGAACGGCCAGAAATGAAGTGGGATTTGGCCCCGGGTGGCCTCCTGCTTCCCAGAATGCCCAACCCCAGGGGAGCCCCAGTGCAAAATCAAAAGCAAATTAGAAGATCAGAAACTTAGGGGGAAGAAACGCTATGTAGTGTTGCAATGCAAACAACTTTTTTTTTGCTTTGGATTTTTCAAAGTTCGTACATTTATTATACAAGCCAGGAAATGGGTCCGGCGCCCCTCACAAGTGTTGGGTGATTCCTCTGGTGAACGAGGCATCGCCGGCCAAGCTCATAACGACTTTTGGGGGAGGGTCACCTCATAATTCCTTATTGAAGAAGTCCTTCATATGCGGTGTATTCGAATAGAACGCACCTTATGCGTTGTATTCGTTTACAACACATATGCATTATGTTCGGGGGAAGAAGGTAGTGCACACCACTTTGGACCCCTTTAAGCCCCTTACAACCCAATTCGTACCTCCCTTCGCCCTCCTAAGCCGAAAATACTAAAAGAAAAAGAGCCCTGATTTGGGCTGCTTTCCGTGGGCACAGAAACACCCCACTGATGACCAATGACAACAACAGCAACAACAGCAACAACAGCAACAAACATAAATTCCAGACTTTCAAACCACCAGTACTTCCTAAAGTCATGCCCATTAAACCACCAGTACTTGGCCCAGCTATCGGCCGAGCCGCGTTTTAGGGCTTCGGGGTACCGGACCACAATGGCTGGAAGCGCCAGCCAAAAACAAAACAAAACGGGTACCCCGGCGCTTCGGCAAAAATCGGCGCGCAGGGGAGGCTCGGCATCGATAGCTGGGCCAAGTACTGGTGGTTTAACAAGCCACAATTTTAGGAAACGTACCGGCCACTACAGGAGTGCCCACATTCATCTGACTAGAAATGTTTCTACTCTATTTTTTCCCGCAGCCCATAGCTGGGCCAAGTACTGGTGGTTTAACATTGCCACGTTGGCCTGGGCAGGAGACTTCTTCAGCGAGTTGCCCGGCTGCCTGCCCGATCGTCCCAGGTACCCTACCGTCTTCACCCGAATAGTTGCACCAAATACGGCTATAATGACCGGGCGTTCTATTCGGGTGAAGACGGTAGGTGTCAACGACTGGATTCTAAGGGTTTTGCCATACTATGCACGAAAGGGTCCAGAGGTCTGGCCACACTTTATGCTATCTTTGCTGTATGAAGGGTTATGAACCTAGGATGCCATGAGGTCATGGTAGTCGAGGACTCGAGGCGTGTGTGGCCGTACCATTACCCACGACCCACGACGAGCCTAAGACCACCCAAGTTCTTTTTTCGGAGCCTTACCATGGGCTGCGCTCCACTGAATAACATTATTATAAATTTAATGGCCTTTGAGGCACTGCCATCCCTCCCCATGCGCCTTTGTTTTTTTTGGGGGGGGGAACTGTGGCTGTGACACACTTTTAGTTTGAAATAGGCAAGAAAAAAAAAGCGGCGCCGGTGTCATGGTGTCCGTTTTGGAATGTGCAAGTTTAGTGGGGTCTAAAACTGTGCGAGTCATTACCCACAGTGGCGCTTGGCAGATTTAGGGTCGTTTTTTTTGCTCCATTTCGGGAACTGCTGAAGTTGCCTATTCTGAACATTGGGTGTGACTCGAGCGTACTAAGCCCAGGGTGTAGTAGAGGCCAAGGACCTGACCCTCGGTGATTGCTGGCATCAGCAGCCAATGGTTGTCCTGACAGGATAGGCCACCTACCCTACCCATCCCCACGTTAATACTCCCAGCGCACCCCCTGTCCCTACTATCCTTCCTCAGTGTGACCAGCACTCAGGACCATCACCCTACCAGTATAGAGGGCAACTTGGACCAGACAGTTCCCCACGGGCTTTGCTCCACTGCACAACATTATAAATGTATCAATGGCCTTTGCTGCACTGCTATTGTTCCCCATGCAAGTTTTTTTTTTGGGGCAAGTACGTTTGTGTCACAAACGAAGTTCAAAAGGGCAAAAAAAACAATAATGGGCCACGAAAAAATGGCCGTAGTTCGAAAAGGCAGTCATAACATCAGAAGGCGGTAACATCAGGCCCCGAGTTTGAAAAGGGCGGTTGTAGCACACTTTCCTTTTTTTTTTTTTGGCGGCCGTGGCCAATCTGGGGTGTGGCCGAGACATGTCGGCCGTGGCCAATTTGGGGTGTGGCCGAGACATCTCGGCCATGGCCCAATTTGGG